CAGCCTGAACGAGCAGCGACATGACGGCCTGCTCTGCGACGTGCTGCTGGTGGTGCAGGAGCAGGAGTACCGCACCCATCGCTCCGTCCTGGCTGCCTGCAGCAAATACTTCAAGAAGCTCTTCACAGCTGGCACCTTAGCCAGCCAGCCCTATGTCTACGAGATTGACTTCGTGCAGCCCGAGGCCCTGGCCGCCATCCTGGAGTTCGCCTACACCTCCACGCTCACCATCACCGCCTCCAATGTCAAGCACATCCTCAATGCCGCCAGGATGCTGGAGATCCAGTGCATCGTGAACGTGTGCCTGGAGATCATGGAGCCCGGGGGGGATGGGGGGGAGGAGGACGACAAGGAGGACGATGACGATGACGAGGACGACGATGACGAGGAGGACGAGGAGGAGGAGGAGGAAGAGGAGGAGGAGGACGACGATGACACGGAGGACTTCGCGGACCAGGAAAACCTGCCTGACCCCCAGGACATCAGCTGCCACCAAAGCCCTTCCAAGACGGACCACCTCACAGAGAAGGCCTATTCAGACACACCCAGGGACTTCCCTGATTCCTTCCAGGCTGGCAGCCCTGGCCACCTGGGTGTGATCCGGGACTTCTCCATTGAGTCTCTGCTGAGGGAGAACCTGTACCCCAAAGCCAACATCCCTGACAGGAGACCCTCCTTATCTCCATTCACCCCAGACTTCTTCCCACACCTCTGGCCAGGGGACTTTGGTGCCTTTGCCCAGCTGCCCGAGCAGCCCATGGACAGTGGGCCTCTGGACCTGGTCATCAAGAACCGGAAGATCAAGGAGGAGGAGAAGGAGGAGCTGCCCCCACCCCCACCGCCACCCTTCCCAAATGACTTCTTCAAGGACATGTTCCCGGACCTCCCCGGGGGGCCACTGGGCCCCATCAAGGCGGAGAATGACTATGGTGCCTATCTCAACTTCCTGAGTGCCACTCACCTGGGGGGCCTCTTCCCGCCCTGGCCACTGGTGGAGGAGCGCAAGCTGAAACCCAAGGCCTCTCAGCAGTGCCCTATCTGCCACAAAGTCATCATGGGGGCCGGGAAGCTGCCGCGGCACATGCGGACCCACACCGGCGAGAAGCCGTACATGTGCAACATCTGCGAGGTCCGCTTCACCAGGTGCGCACCGCAGCCCGGGCTGGGGGCCCGAGGGTGCCGGGAGGGCATCAGAGGCCGCCGCGGTCGTGACAGCAGAGAGGGGCCTGAGGGGGAGGCTGAGATGGAGAGAGAGACCCAGTTCATGGGAGGCCCAGCTGGACCCTACATGCAGAGCAAGTGCATTGATAGGAGGCATGCTAGGCGTTACCTGGTGCAGTGGTTTTCGAGCTCTTTTTAAGAGATAAATTGTTTTCTCAAATGCAATATTAGGTGGAAGGTCAAGATATAAAACCAATCCGCGCAGAGCTGTTCTGGTTAAGGCAGAAGTGAGGGACACTTTGCTTGCTTGGCCTCCCTCTTCCCTTCCTCACGGGAGATCCATGGAAGGCAGTTTTGAAGCTCCCCAATGGAGTGCCACCCCTTTATTTTATCTTAATTCAGCATGCCGGGGGGTTTCCTAAGTGTATGACATATACTCCCACCCCAGCCATTCCCCGAGAAGATGGGAAGATGCTATGCGGCCTTTGTTTAAGGTGAGCGATCCATCTGCTGGAACATGGCAGAGCTGGGACGTGTGTAACAGCAAAACCTGTGACCAGGAGACTACAGAGACCCCTGAAGGCCCTTTTGACCTCTTTTGGGGCTTCCATCACCGCATATTTTCTCGGAAGTTTATCTGTGGGAATTGCAGGGGGCTTGTTCATTTGATTTTCTCCTATGGACCCAAAGTTTTGGCCTTTGAGGACAGAGTGAAATTATTTGTCAGGTTGGATACCAAGGGGCCATGGTTTGGGGGCAGAGAGGAGAAATAAGTTCTATAAAGTAATGAGGCCTACTCTCTGGGGTAGCTTGAAATTCTATATGAAATTTCCAGCGAAGATTGTCAGAAATACGTTCAGGTGACAGTGACATTGCTACCATAGCTCGGCAGGGTCCTCTGGTGACTGCTTGGAAGGACAACACTGATTGTTTCCAAGATGGCCTTGGGGTTCCAGCATAGCTGCTTCTGTGGGTCCCCGCACAGCTGCTTCTTTGAGGGAACCCCCAAACAGAATCTCTTCCAGACATTTTGAGCTGTCAGTGGATGGAGACACTCCAGGTGCAGAGCAGCTGGACCCAAAGTGCCCAAGATTCACCTGCCGTCAGGTGTCCTTTGTTCATGGCACTGCCACTCTGGTGCAACCATAGGCAATGCTGCCCCATTTCCCACCCCTACCTTCTCCTGAGTTCACTTAGCCCCACGGGGCTGGGCCAGAGCGAGGCCGACACAAGCCCCGGGTCACGGAAGGCAGACCAACAGGAGCGTTCTCTATCTGCAGCCTGCGTCCCAGCCCAGCCCCAGGGAATGTCTTGACACTTTTCACCGGCCAAATCCAGGAAAGCCACCCCCTGAGCAGCTCAGCGTGCCCCCTCCTGCCATCCAGGATCCACCTCCCTAATTTCCATGCCTGCACGGAAATGCAGGTGACTGCCACTGAGACACCTCTCCCTTCAGGGGAGACCCAGGTCTATGGCTTCAACGAGATGCCATCTCAAGGTATCACACCGTGAGCACCCCAAGTCCCCATCTCCCCTCCTTCCTTACCGGCCCCCTCCAGGCCTTTCCCACACAGGGCCACATCCATCCATGGGCACTGCCTCCCCCAGGGAAAGTTTGAATCTTGCTCAGTAGTGAGCAGCACCCCAAGTCCCCATCTCCCCTCCCTCCCTACCGGCCCCCTCCAGGCCTTTCCCACACAGCTTTCTGTGAGGGCCACATCCGTCCATGGGTGCTGCCTCCCCCAGGGAAAGTTTGAATCTTGCTCAGTGACTCCAGACAGACTTCCCACCCTCCTGCCACTAGAGCATTCTCTGAGCCTCCCGGTTTGGGCAGCAATGCTGGGTTGCACAGGAGGGCTGCATTCCAGAACCCTCCCTCCCAGCACACTCCTGATGGTCACTTAGGGTGGCTTCTGTGCCTGCAGTCTCACCACCCTTCCAGGTCAGAACAGCCAGTGGGGCAGTTCTGACCCTCCAGCCATCCACCCTCCCTCCGCTTTACTCCTGCTCAGCAGAGGGACAGCCATGTGGGCCCCCAGGCCCATCTCCAGCTGAAGCAGCTGTGTTCCAGCCTCCATCAGCACCTCCCCCTCGCTCCTCCTCCTCACTCGTTCGGCCTGGGCTCTGAGGTCCTGAGAAAGATCAGAAAAGCCCTGGAGTCCCCACCCCAACCCTCCCAGGCAGAGATACCCAGAGTGGGGAAAGACTGGGGGAGGTTTTCCTGGCTTCTTCAATAAGGGGCTGTGTTTCTCTCCCTGGATGTGGTTATCCGCGGTGAATACCCCCAGCCCTCCTCCCAGGCACGTTCTTCAGAATTGCTGGTTCCTTGCTTCCCTCCTGCCTTCTCCCCGAGCTGCCCATGCAAGGATTCTCTTTAGTCTTTGGAGAGCCCCAACTCTGGTCTGTCCATGCTGGGGTTTCCTGTAACTGTCTACAGCCAAGTGCCCGTGCAGCCTTTCCCTGGGGACCCTCCTTGCGGCTGACTTCCTGCAGTCACCAACCATAACACCTTCCCTCCCTTCCCAGGTGGAGGCTCTTCAACAGCCACCTAAAGTAGCAGCTGCTGCCTCTTTGCTGTAAATTCTCAGACTCCCTTGCAAGGCCAAGCCACTCCCGGGGACTGGGCCCCGTGAGGCTGGGGACCCGGGACCTACTGCCCTCCAGCCTCCTCTTGGACATTGTTTCTCTTTCTGAATCTCCACCAGGCTCCTGCTCTCCAGTCAAGACTCGTTTCCTTTCTCCTTCAGGCTGACCCACCTCCCCTCCCTCTTGGGGTTGTGGGAGGGGCCGACCCTCCCCCTGCAAGGTGGCCCTTTGACACAGGCTCAGAGTTACAGCCTCAGAAGCCAACTCCTAGAGGGAGTCCACACCCCAAGGAGACATCATTCCTAATGGCTTCAGCAGCCACAATGGGTGTGTGTGTGGGCGGGGGGGGG